TGATTTTCTTTTTCATCTAGCAGGCTGCCTTGTGGATAAAAACCAACCAGACTGGAGAAACAGTAACTGCCAAGCCTTCTGCATATAGCGACCACTTCTGTGTGTACTGCAGGAAAACATTTCCACCTAGAGTCCTTTCCCAGAATATCTGAAGACCAAATGAAATCAACCATAATGACTACCAGAGCCAGATAATAATCAGTTTTTAATTGAAGCATCAAGCCAATTAATTTGTGACAACTTCCTATCAGTTCTGATTCTACACATGAAGTTTCATAGGAACCTGGCCATTTTCAGCTCCAGAGCATCCCTGGAAGAGTTCAATGTTTGGTCCTTTCTAAAACTGCCATTACTAAGGAGAAATTATTTTAGAGATAGTGCCTCAAAACTTAATTCAAGATTGAAAAGCAGCATCACTTGTTTGATTCAATAAAATTTATGAAACACCAGACATTTTAAGCCTCAAACAGTTTTTAATTTAAAAAAAAAAAAACTTTTGCTTTTAAATATGTTTCAGAAAGACAACTGAACCCTAAACTTTACTTTACTTTGGTTAATTCTAAACATACATGCTATGTGTCTGTATGTGTAGATAACTATGTAGACTGATGACAATCATTTTTATATCACAAAATTTCTAAGGACAGTATATTTTAAGAACTATTTTTCTAAGAATCTGGTAAGATATGTATTCTTGTTTCCCCTGAAAAACAATATAAATGTTCTCCAGATGATAGTGTGTAATAGCCTGTAATATAAAGCATCAATACATTGTCTAGCCTCCATTGACATTAAAATACAACCATTATATGAAAAATTTACTTCCATATATAGATTAATCAATAGGTAAATAATGGATGCCTTCCACATGAATGATAACCAAACCACTTCATCATCAGTAGTCAGTTGAGCAACTTGAGAACTTTAAGGTGAAAATTAACCATGTCAATACATATGCTGGCTTTCAGCAGCAGGAAGTGCTTCAGATTTGTCTGCCTCACAGTTCAGTACTGAAAGTAATATACACTAATAAAGTTGGTGAGAGCATCCATAAAAAGATCTCTTTTTTAAAAAACATTAACCATTGCTTCTCAGTTCTGAAAATCATTTTTCCCTGTCATTTTCATCTTATGACCTGGTATATCAGAGCTAGGTCTTGACTTTTATTCACTATTCCTAGAACATAACAATGATCTATTTTTTCCTTCCTTGAGTACTATTCCATAAGAAGGTTAATGTCTCAAGAGGTGTAACAACCATGCTTAGTGCACTCTAAAATTGTGTTAGAGTAGAAAATGACCACACGTGATAAGCACAAACTCTACACAGCACACTGGAAAATGTATTTTCAGCACTCTGACAGACATATGGTAATCTCACCGAGGATGCACAATATCTTAAATATTCATTTACTCTTTTGTGGCTTATGCACAACAATCAAACACATCCGGTGGCCACCATGGCCAAGTCAGTACTTAGCAGAGATATTTCTTAGTGCACTGAACATACTGGAAAATGTCAAAGGCAGTGTGAAATATGAAGAACCTTGCTTCACCAAATAATCTGAACTCAAAGCCATTTCCCAACAACAACCCCATCACCACCACCACCACCACTACCACCACCTCCTCAGGAGCCTTAACTTCACCCTCCTTCCACCCCATGACGTTCAGGCCATGACTTCCTACTCATCTTTTCTTCCCCTCTCCAAGTCATTCAGTAGCTTTGCTCTGTTCTCAGTCAGTCCCTTGGGCAAAGAGCTTAGTAAAATGCTGAATGGAGCGACTTCACCACCAGGTGAAGAGGAAAGGGGAAGAAAAGCAGAGGGTGTGGTACTCCCTTTTTGTCACCACACCCCATCCCTTGAGTCTTGCACTCGGGTCCACTGCAGCTCAGAGGGGGGACCTAGCAGATCGCCTTGCTGAGCTCCTAGCAGTTAGTGACAGACAGCCACCTAGCACACATTGCCAACAACAACAAAAATATTAAGAAGAAAAAATATTATTAAAAAAAAAAACACTGCCCTTAAAGGAAGCAAATGTCCAGAGTAGGAGATGAAACAGGGATTAGTTCGAATGCACAGTCCCCAGAATGCCACAGAAAAGAAGGACCTCACAGATCACACAACCCCCCCTTCCCTGGATGCCGTCTGAGTATCAGCCTGAGAATTTCCCAAGACCAGAGGTTAGGTTAGAAGTAGAGAGAGGCTTTACCTCCTGGGGCTGCCTTCAGGGCGCAGACTAAGGTTGCCTTCCCGAAGTGGATCTGGCTCCCCGCACAGCTTTCCAAGGCACAGCCTAGATTCCGACTTGGGTCCCGGCGAGCGGGCGCTTAGCTACGAGGAGCACGGGGACTCGGAATCACATCCCCCTCCCCGGCCGGGGTGGACCCCCTCTACAGCGCCGCCTCGGCCACCCGGCGGGCACACTCTCTCCTCGAGCTGCCCCTCAGCCGCCCGGCACCCCCACACCCACCCGCTTCGCCGCGCCTGCTGGGAGCCTCTAGCGGAGGCCAAGCGCAACACAGCCGACCCGCTGCGCCCGGGCTCCCCACCGACGCCGGCTGCAGGGAGCGGACCAGGTGGCGGCGTGGACTTCCAGATCCCAGCATCCCGCCCGCCTACTCCAGCCTCACCTGCCACCCAGTGTACTTCCTGGACCAGGGCCTACAGCTCCCTATCGCAAAGAGGGGATGAATGTCCGGGGCTAAAGAAAAACCTCTCCAGAATAGAAAATAAAAACAAAACAAGAGCCAAGCCCAGATGTAAATCAGCCTGGACAGAGGACTCAGCCCCAGATGCAATCCCCAATAGGTATCCAGAAGTGTGAGGATAGGACACTCCCTTTTGCCACCTCAACCATCTGCACCGGCTGGTCCTCCACTTGCCTGCCCGGAGCCATTCCGCTCGGATTGTGCAGCTGCGTGGCAACAGCCTGGGGGGTTCCGCGTAACTTGCCTTATCCCCCCACCTCATCCCCAATATCTATTTTAAGTTATTCTCTCTGGAGAATCAAGCAGCAGGTTTGCGCTCTCTTACCTTGAGAGGCTGCTCATGCCCCTTCGTGTCCTTAAAATCCAAAGCCAAGGAGGATGAAGCGCACAGGAGTCCGGGGTCTTCTTCCAGGCGTCCCCCTGTCTCAGCTTGCTCGGCCTTTCCTTTCAAAGGGGCCAGGGAGGGAATGTCGGTTCTAAAGCCCTGGCAGCCCAGGCGTCTCCAAACCCTCACGCCTGTGGCCACGGAGACAGGGACAACCTTGGCGGCAGTGGAAGCCTCCCCTGTCCCTGCTCAGGCAACTTGGCTGCGGATCCAGTTTTCTTCTGTGACCCCACAAATGCGTTGGGCAGCCAAGCCCTGTAGGGTTGTCAGGGTGTCAGGAACCTGGGTTCCTCTCTGTCTCTCGCCACCGTACCCCTCCCCCTTCTCCCGCCAAGTGGGAAAACCTGCGCTCGGGCGGCTTCGGTGCGGAGCAGGTGCTAGCAGCAGAGCCACGCCGAGGATCGCCCTCCACCGCGGTGTCTTGGTTCCAACCGCTGCGCCCAGGCGTCTCTGCCGAGGAAACTTTGAGTGGAGGCCGCAACCGGCGAGGGGCGGGTGATGGGAAGCCGGGTGAAGAGGCTGGGGAGCTGGGAAGGAGGGACACCGGGCGGGCGGCGGGCTGCTGCGTCCCGGCGGCCACACTCAGCGCGCGGACTGCGCGCACACACGCCCGGCTCACACGCACCGCTCACACGCACACCCCCGCGCGCGCGCACCAACACGCACGCCCAGCCTCACGATCGCGGCCCCAGGCCACAGGCGAAAGCTAGATGCGAACCCTCACTAGGGGTTCCCAGAATGGGAAGGATGGTGACATCGTTCGTACCTCCTCTCCAGTTAACGGAGCCCTCAAGTCTGTTTCACCTTCGCCGGTCTCCCCGCCCTGTCTCTCATCTCCACTCCTAGCTCTTTCCGGTGGTCAGCTCTCCTCCAGGAACCCTGAACCCGGAGATAGCAGGACTTCAGAGCCTCTTCCCATCCCCACCCTTCAGAGTGACCAGCGCCCCTTCTTCAGTGGAGAATTGAAGTTCCCGCAGCACCTCTCCAAGGAGCAAGGGACTCCCAGACATCCTTTGAATGGAGGAATCTTGACACCATTTCCTGGACAGAATCTCCTCGCGACATTCCCTCCTGCCCATTCCATAACTTTGTCTCAAAGAGCTCCCGAAGTTCACTTAGGTGGTTTTGCAAAGAATTGACCAAGGACTTGTGTTGGCCAGCTTTTGGATCAGGACTAATTTCGGGTTCTACGCTTTTATTAAAAACTGGATGGTAGCGAGCGAAAGAGTCAGCGGGAGAAAGAGGAGAAACTAGAAGCCTGGAGATCCAGCCCATTTCATTTCCCCTTCCAGTATTTTGGCAGAAGTAGTGGTGCAGGTCTCCTGGTAGCTCCTGTGGCAACTTATTCTGCCCTCAAGACAGAGGTCCCTGTGTTCTGCGCAGCTGGGCGCGCTAAACCAGATAATCTTTACTCCGTGAAGCTGTCAGAATCCGCCACAAGTCCCTGCTAGGAATCCAACCTCTGGAAATTTGTCTTGCCTGGACTGGAGAGCAGGAATTCATTGCTAACGGGAAAAAAAAAAAAAATGGAAAGTAAACTTTTGCCACGACGGTTTCTTTGATTTTTATTTTGTTATTGTATTTGAACCCTGATTCTCCTTTATGTTCCGCGCTCAAGTTCAGCAAAGCTTTGCTGCGATTATTCTGCTTCCCAAGTACTGGAAAGGCTGGATGGCAGTGAGTTTCTCTTCCTGGCTCTTCACTAAATCTCTGTGGATTCAGACAGAAAAAGAAAAGTGATGCGGCGGCATGGAGATGGCGCTAGGACCCTTTGCAGGAGGGACGCGCCACTCCCCCGCTGTCTGCACAAGAGCGTCTTCTCTGAAGATCCAGGGTATTTTGAGTGGCCCTTTTCCAGTTGAGTTGGAAGCCGACTGACTGAGAATGAGAAAATACAGTATTTGAGCGCTTGAAGGGGAAACTGTAGGTTGGAAAGTGGAAGAGAAGAGAATTTTGAGCAAAAGAAGAAACTTATGTTGGTAGGAGCTGCAGCAAGGCTATGCATTGCCTGAGTAGCAAAGCATGGTAAGGTAAGCTGGCAGCAGCACGCAGGGCCCCGAACGTCATTCAGAAAGCAGGGGTGCAGTCTGAATTTCTTGATGAGTCGGCTTTAGGCCCTGTGTGAGAAAACCAGGCAAAGTCGTTTCCTGAGATTCTTGTCGGGTTTGGGGATGATGGATCCATGGAAACTGTCCCGCGGAGTGAGCGAACCACAAGCCTTTTGCTCTGCTGCTCAAGGAACAGCACCAACAGAGTCTGCATGTTTTGAGTTCAACGCTGGTTTTCCTTCTGGTGCAGTGAAGGCAAGAGCTAGAAGCTAGCCCGGGGAGCCTAGGTGAAGGAAAAGTGGATTTGGGAGAAATGCTAAGCAATTGAAAATAAGAATGTATTTTATTTAGTTTTGATATGCTAAGATATGTTTTGGACACCGATATTTTTGCAGCGTTTCAAGTGGGGGATGTTAAGTAGGTTTTGAACTTGGTGCTATCTATGCATTGTCTCCTGGTTATCAGGTTTGGTACTTTTTTGAGTTGTAATTGTTTTCCGTCTTTAATAAGTGACTGTTGTGGATACTGAAGTGGAGCTAGGAATTATAATAAACCATTTCCAACAAAAGGTCTTCCTTACGTTATGGCTTCCTTGTATATTCCCATCATTGAACAATAGATGCGGGTGTGGATTACAAAGATCAAACGATCCTCTTGATGAAAGAAAACTCCTGGATATTGAGCAGACTCCTCTCCAGGACTGTTTTGGACTGGGATGATCTTCCTAGCTGCAGTTGACATGCAAACTGCTGCTAATGCTTCTTTTAAAAAACAAAGTAGGTCATTTACATGGGCACTAAGTGGATTGTTCCAAGGGTGTCACATAGTGCCTGAGACTCCAAGGAGAGGAAGCTTTGGCATTTGCCTTGAGTCTGGGGTTATAGGATGTGTGAGGAGCAGTGATAATCAAGAGCACAGTATTTCTGATGAACATTTAAGCACCTGCAGCAGCTTGGAAACCCTGCACCTTTACTGCCTGCCTCCAATAAGCATTCACTCACCTTCTTGTGAAAATGACATTTCCTCAATATCCTGGATTGTTATTCTTTGTGTAAAATAAAAGAGAGTAAAAATCGCACCTTTTTCTTCTCCATTGATTTTCACATTTCACTTTGATGGGGGAAAGAATAATCAAGAAAGTCAGCCTCTGGCTTGGGGGACTTAAACCACCCCTTAAATAACATGCTAAACATCTAATCATCATCTTTCTATAGAACTGGGAAAAAGGGTTGACACTCAAAAGCACTGTCAGATCCAACAGACTCCAACTCCAGATTATAACTACTGCATCCTTCCAGTGTGTGTGTGTGTTTCTTCACAGTCTCTGAATAGTGCAAGTAGTCTTCAGTATAGGTGGCTTCTCTCTTTCAATGGAGCCTCACTTGTCCTCTGTGTTCTTTAAGGTTATTGTAATTTCATAATAGCATTGACTCTCCAGAAGCAAAGCATTTATCCTATTAATATATCTCTTTGTTATAGATTAAAGTTACTTCTTGATGATTATTAATCTATCTTTCTGATGCCATGGTGCACAAGGAAAGCAAGGATGGTGACATGCACATTAGTGTTCCTCCTCACCATGTAAAGGACCCCATACAGAATCAACCAGAGGTTTTAGGTGATAGCATAGCCCTGTGATTTGTGTATATTATTTCAATGATGCTCTGTGTTCTCAGATGACAGCGAAATGAATGCTTATGCATATTTGTCAATGGTAACGAAGATATTTTGACATAGATAAGTAAATATGAAACTCATACCTGCCTTATGATGAAGTCTGCAATTTTAACTTACTTTGCTCAATTCAATCATTCAAGAACAAACATTTTTAGTTATTCAGGGCTAAAGGGAATTTACATATTTTAATGCAGATAAAAGTAAAATGATAATTTATAATAAGCCTCATTTCAAGCAATCTGGTTGGTATCTATTTGTGTATAGGAATATTGAAACAGTTAAATTTTTTCCTACTTTTTATTGGGAATAGATTTTTTTTCATACAATATACTCTGATTATGGTTTCTCTTTCCCAACTCCTCCCATATCCTCCCTACCTCTGCCCCCACCCAAATCCCAACCTTTTCTTTCTCTCTCTCATTAGAAAACAAAAAGGCATCTACAAATAATAACAAAAGGAAAAACAAGTGAACAATCAAACAAACACATTAGTGTTAAAACATGATTATACTTTCTTGGCATTATTGACCTCAGAATAATAAATGGTGGATTATAAGTTGAAGATATTGGGGCTCAGGACACAATGGATTTACAGTTGAAAGTAGCTTTTCATTGTTTATTTTCATATTGCTATCCAATATGAAATGTAGAAGAGAATTATATTATAAATTTTCAGTTATGTCAATAAATTGTAAAAATGTCCTGGAAAGAGAGTTCAGTGGTTAGTTCCAGCCTCAGGTGATTCAACACCCTCTTCTGGCATGCATGGGTACAAGCATTCACATGCCCATCGTCATTCAGAGATATATATACCGAAAATTAACAAAACATAAATCTTTTTTATGAAGAAAATTCTAGAAATATACCACTCTGTGCTTATAGTTGAAAGTATTATATAATATCCTGAAAATTTTGTTGAAGCACAATCTCATATAAAGTATTGTTACCACAGTTTTTAAAGTGATAAAATTTAAAAGATTCAGAACACATATGGCATTGAATTTAAAGTGACGTGTGAACATGCCACAAAAAATGTAGCTGTCATTTCCAGTGGCCCATATTGTAAAATATTATTCAAATATGTATTAGTGTAGTACCGTTACATTACATTTATATTTAGACTATGCTGCTACAGGCAAAAAGATGAGAAAGTTGTCATATTTATTAAAGTCTCCATGGAATTTTTAGGTGCAAGCAGACAGATGAAGCAAGGTGTTGTCTTTGAATTTTAGTAAACCTTGCTGCAGTTGTGGAATAAGAGGACAAAAGTGTGGCAGCAGAGGTGGGACATTTTCTTAATTTGGGAAAGGGTGGAAGTTTCACCTTCAAAAAAAGTTATGTTTAGAAGATACATGGAACAAAGAACATCTTGCATTTATCTCATCCTTTACATTTAAGGAAACCTTTTAAAATAATGGATGGGAGTTTTTCTTTGTGGCTTGTGAACCCCTTTACCAGCAGCACAACTGGAAAAAGTGAGGGCAGTGCCTAGGCTTGGGCTGCTATAACAAAAGACTCTACCCCAGGTGGCTTAGACATCAGAAAATTATTTCTCACTATTCTAAAAGCTAGAAATCTAATATCAGATTTCTAGTTTCATTACTGGTGAAGCCTGTCTTTTTGGCTAAAAAACTGTGCTCCCCAAAGTGTTTCCCCAAATGCCCTTCCTTCACTGTGTTCACAGACAGTCCTTTCTTCCTCCAAAAATGGCCAATCAGATCATAAGGGATCTAATCCATTTTACTTCCCAAATTCTTCACCTCCAAACACCATGATATCAGATGCTAGGATTTCACTTTACTAGTTTATGGAAGGCACACTTCAACATTCCAGTGTGAGCCACTTTCAGTCCTTAGAAGGGGTGAGCCTAACCCCGGAAGTTGGAATTTCTCTCAGTAAAAAGACAGATAATGTTCTCTGGGAGAAAGAGGCCTGTCATGGCAGCATCTTTATCAGGACGTCTTTGGCTTAGGATTATCAAATAATGTATGGCTCCTTGGGAAATGGGAAATGGCATAATATGGCTGTTACCTCTAGGTTATCAAATGAAGATGTGTTCACTCTGTGAGGAGTATCCACAGCTTACGTGGAGACATATTGTGTGTGGAGGGGAACCAAACAAACAGTAAGGACAACAATAACAACAACAGAAACAGGACTATTCTTGGCTTCTTGTTTATATCCTCGAAGTTACTCAGTTTCCAGTGATGCACCTTTTGCTGTCATGTTTCATGGAAGTCTTATTGGAATATTTTAGTCTTGCAAAATAGCTCAGAATTTGTTGGTTTCACTCAAACAATAGCCACTCTTTACTAAACACCTTTTAGGTTCCAAAATTTTAAGCTGGGTTTGACTGTTTTTGATATTTACAACAAACTTATTACCTTCATTTAGTAAAGTGAGAAAACAGTTACAGAAAATTTAAACAGTCTTGTCAAGGAAATAAAGCTGCCTAAATACAGGAGGATTGTCTCAATTAAGAGCCCAGAGTTAATGATAGAAGGATCTCTATTAGCTGGAAGACAGTTAGAACACAAACTTGACTTCACTGTTCATGACAGGGTCCTCAAATCAAAAATAGCATATGGCTCCTGACTGACGAAAAACATGTGAAGAGAACAGATAGAAATGTCAGTAAAAAATAATAGTCTCCCCTTTGTGCCTCCTACTGTGTTAATTGCTGGATACATATCATTTTATTTGATTTCACAACAGCATCCTAAATTAGTATTACTATTATTCCAATTATCAAGACTGGTAGAATCATGTCCTAAAACCCCCTTTCCTTTTCAACTTAGAAATAACTTGAACACAACACCTATTGCTTTTATACCTATTGCTAAACTGACCTAAAGTATTATCTTAAGTTACAATGTGTTTACAACTAAGTCACTTGCTTAATAGTCTGTCTCTTTTCTACTGTTTCAATTCAGAGCACATGCTGCAGCAAAGTAAATGTAAAACGATGGGGAAGTTTGAATGAATGGCTTTCTGTACTGTTGGAGCATTTGCTGAGGAAACCACTTAGGTATCAGTGATTTTCTGCTTGCTCTCCTCCTGAGGTGCCATGGTAACTGTTTTGACAAGGTAATATGGTCAGGAAAAATTTGAATATTCCTTTCCTTACGTGATGATCTCAGCTTGCTTGATTTCTTGCTCTGAAATCATGCTTATTGTCTTCCACTGTCAGTCTGTCAGGAAGTAGATTCTTTTTTTTTTTTTTTTTTGGTTTTTCGAGACAGGGTTTCTCTGTGTAGCTTTGCGCCTTCCTGGAACTCACTTGGTAGCCCAGGCTGGCCTCGAACTCACAGAGATCCGCCTGCCTCTGCCTCCCGAGTGCTGGGATTAAAGGCGTGCGCCACCACCGCCCGGCAGGAAGTAGATTCTTAAGTCATCATATAAAATTTCAAAATACCATACTCTACCACACATTAGTGAAATGGAATAACCAATAGAGGGCTTTTACTTCTAACCTTGGTGTAGCAACAATAATCACCGAAAGAGAAACCATGGACTTAAGGGCTATTATGAGGGTACACTCAAGTGAGCTTGGGGTGAAGGATACGGAAGGAGATGAATGGAGGAAAGCTGGAAATGTCATTGCATTTTAACTAAAAACTAAATCTAAAATGAAAGCATTGTTTCTTAAGTCTTAATCACTGTTTATTACACTAGAATTGTCATGTGGGACCCACTACTGATCAGCTGACATACCGCACTAGGATTTTTAAATTCACTCTAAGTGTGCCCCTGTGTAATGATTAACCTATATAATATAGGAATAAATATCCTTAATTGAAATTCTAGCCCCAAGTCTTTCAGATTTTCTAACTCCAAAAATAATAATCAAGAATGACATAGAAATAAATATAATGTGCTGTGGGACGGTCTGTATGTCAAATTGCTCTGATTGGTCAATAAATAAAACACTGTTGGCCAGTGGCCAGGCAGGAAGTAGGTGGGACAAGGAGAGAGAAGAATTCTGGGAAGCAGAAGGCTGAGGCAGAGAGACACTGCAG